TAGTAGTAATGGCCTCCAACCTCGTTGACTTTGGGCCTTGATGCTCTGAGGCAAGACCAAGCTTCCAAACAACTTCTTCTCCCGGAGGGTGCCTTTGGTGGCATTGGAGCCTGCGCAACAACTCCGTGACGCCCCAATAGCTCCCGATAGCTCCGTAATGAAATAAGGAATATCGACTGGAACCCATGCTTACTATATAGTAGCTTCTTGTTACTAGTAGCGATCAAAGACCTCCTACAGGTGAGACAATTCCCAGTGAAACGATTCCCGAGGAAGCTTCTAGCTACTTGTAGCTTCTTGTGCCTGGGCCCCTGTAAGGTCATAGCGAGGTTGTTCATTTAGGGCAGCTGGGGTGTAAGTGTATGTCCTCATGATTGATGGCGCCGGCGCTAGCAGGTACTGCAAGCGTGGCTTTCTCAGGGTATGCATCTCTCCTCTGAAGAATCCTACGTGATCAAGTCTGGTATTAATTGGGGGATGGTGTCTATAGACCAGTAAACTGCCACGAATGTTTAGTGTGGTGCAAAGATAGTTTTTACGGCCGGGCCCCAAGCAAGCACCTTCCTTGTTTAGTGTTCCTTTCTTCATAGCAATGGTAACTATATAGTGACTATATTTTATAGTTATAGTCGTTATAGTTATAGTAACTAGCTACTAGTAGCTTCTTGTTCCTAGTAGAAATGCCAGGAGCCCCTAGTAGCTTCTTGTTCCTAGTAGCGATGCCAGGAGCGCCCCTAGTAGCGTCCGATCGCTCCTAGTTATAGTAAACAGCCATTGCCTGCCTCGCCGTGGCATAGCGGCAACACACGAGCACCTGGCGGAGGCCGATGGCATTCATCCTCAGATGAGCGCCTGGGTGCGCGGGCGATCCTTGAGAGTGCTCTCTGGAGGCCGAATTCTTGAGAGAACTTTTATTGTAATAGCGATGACCCCAACCTGCTAGCAACTTTAATGTATATAGACAGATCTTTTCATGTTGAATTCCTTTCTATGTATTTTAGTATTTGTTTTGCGTGTTTTGTTCCTGCAGACGTTTCTTTCTTTCTTTCTTTCTTTGACTGCTTGTTCGGAGGGCAAGATAGCATTCGAACAAGAGCGCTGCTGTACCGTATCACAATCCAATTAAATGCTTGGCCAGTTGAGGTGGTGCTTTCCTCATCCCCCTCTCGCCCACAGAGTTTTGCAAAAGCCGTCTCAGCTTGCAGGTGGCATTTGTGGTTCCTTTGCAGGCCACGCTGTTGCACAAGTCTATGCAAGTCAGATGAAGGATTTTGGCAGCTGGTTTCCACATAGTAGGTTTGTGCTTGGAACAATCACGAGGAGGTTTCCCATTCCCTTGAGGAAGAGATGTCAACCACCTGCCTGCACAGTGATTCATGCTTGTCACAGACTATGTTGATTTGGCAAGGGGTTTAGGGTTGGAGGCCATCGCTACTAGGTGGAGGCCTCCGCTAATAGACACAAAGACAAAGGACAAGCAGATTTGTCACAGACACGTAGGGCACGGTGGCTCTGATTGTTGAAGGATTCCAGCTTCCCGAAAGCTCACGTGTTGGTGGAAATGCCTTTGCGTTGCAGGTGGCTTGTTGTCATCGTTGCGCGACCAAACAATTTTTTGCGATGTGCTGCTCAACGGAGGCGCCTGAATTCAGCTGCCATGCAGTCACTACATGTCACTACATGTCACTACCATTATCATTCTGGAATCCTAACACGGCAAACTTGGATTAGTGTGCCTTTGCTGGACAACTTGCATTGGAAACAGATCATCGATGACGACAGTTCGGAGAGGCTTAAGTTGCGAAAGTCACCCGTCAAGTCTTCAAAACAAGCATTTCGTATGTCACTTGTCGTACGAGACTTCCACCCAAAATTCAAACTGAAAACTCTCCAAAGTGAGGGTTCCAGAGGATTCTTCCTTCAAAAGTGAAGACTGCACACATCACAGACCTGCCAAGCAGTTCCGCAATCCTAGCGGTCCTAGCCCACAGCGACAATCACTTAACGTCGCAACCTCGCAGATAATTGAGCCTGCCACGCAAATTTACCGCCAACACATCCAATACGCACAGAGCACCGTGCCTGCCACGCAAAGTGATTATGCCACATTTGCACGCCTCTAGCACAAGCTTTCACCATGCCACACGTTTGGAATGATTTCAGCACTTGGCCGCTTCAACCACATCGCTCCAATTTGCAAGTTTGGGAAATCGCAATTGCCTGGCAACATGCAACACTTGCCGC